AGGGCCCGCCCTGCCGGGGCCTGTCGTGCCCCCCCCGCCTGCCGTCCTCCCTCGGCCCGACGGCACGCACCGTGTCGTGTTCCCCCCCGGGCTGCCGTCCCCGCGGGGCCGCCGGTCACACGCTGACACCCGGGGGCGCTGGGGATCGTGCCCGGAGGGGGGCCCCTCGGGGCTGTCGGTCACGCAGGCGCCGGGCATCGTGCCGTGGCGCAGCCCCGCGCCCGGCTGTAGCCAGCTTTCTTGTCCCGCCAGAGGAGATTGCGAAGCACAAGGGCCCCCCGGTTTTCACCCAGGCGGAGCGGTACAAGATGGTGCAAGCCATCAAGTGGGTGGATGAGATTGTGCCGGGGGCCCCCTACGTCACCACGCTGGAGACGCTGGACAAGTACAACTGCGACTTCTGCGTGCACGGCAGTGAGTGGCCAGGGGCCGAGGGCGGTCGGGCCTGTCCTGTTCCCTCTCCCGCCTCTGCCAGACCCTTCGGGGCTGCTCTGGAGCCCTGTGCCGCCCGCCGTAGCTTCCCCAGGCCGGGCACGTGACGGCGGAGCCGAGCTGGAGAGGCGACAGGAAAGCAGCGGCTCCGGTGTCCCCTGCCCTGCCCTGGCACAGGGTCGGTTCTCGCCGCGTGCGGGGGTGGGGGTGGGGCTGCCCCGCCCTGGGGAAGGGCTGGACATTGAACCTCCAGCACCCAGCTCACGGGTGTCTGGGACGTGGGCCAGGCAGCCATCGCCCCTGCCCCGGTGTGTCGGCTGGCCCCCCTCGGCCCTCGCCTCCCCCCGCCCAGCCGCTCGCTCGGCTTTGCAGGGAGCAGAGGGGACAGCGCTCAGACGCTTCTGTCTCTCTCTAGATGACATTACTCTTACTGTAGATGGCAAGGACACCTATGAGGAGGTGAAGGCAGCTGGGAGATACAGGTAACTCGCTGCCCCCCAGGTCTGGGCCCTCTTCCGCTCTGACCTGCTGCTCAGCGCCGCAAGCTAGCAGGAGCACAGGGGAGATGCAAGGGTCAGTGTGACGCCTTCACCGCGCTGTGAGGGTCCCGGTCGGGTCCCTGCCTTCGCTGCTTTGCCTTCTGGAAGGTGCTGTGGGCTAGCAGCCAGCTGGCCAGCAATCTATGGAAGGTGCTGAGCTTTGCTCCCGGTGCTGTGAGAAACGAGGTGGCTACGCTGCCGGGGCGCAGCTCCTGTGCCACGAGGGCAGGGGGAACGGCAAGGTGCTGAGACACGGATCCAAGCATCCTTCCCTTTCATGGTGCTAGGGGAGAGGGGTCAGGTGTGGGCTTGGTGGGCTGCGTCGCCTCCAGCGTCTGCCTGTTCTGCAGGGAATGCAAACGCACCCAAGGCGTGTCCACCACCGATCTTGTGGGCCGCATGCTGCTCATGACGAAGGCGCACCACAGCAACATAGTAAGTCAGGCAGCTGGGGCGGCCCCTCCCGCGCTCCTCCACTCTGCTGCTCCCTCCTGGGCGCTGCTGCCGCCTTGCGCCAGGGCGATGGAGCTGAGCTCCTTGATCTCTTGCCTCCAGGGACACAGGATTTTGCAAGCCACAGGTGGGCAGGGCTTGCAGAATCCACTGCTAGTCTCTGCTTGGACCTGCGGGGAGCCAAGGATTTAGTGCCTGATACTTCGCCTTGCTTGGCAGGGTCTCAAGGCTTCTAGTCTCTGGCTCCAGGAGGCATCATGGGAAGTCACGGGCCTTTTGCCAGTGACCTCCATGAAGGAACATGGAGCAATCTCCAGAGAGCCAAATCCTCCTTGGCTGCCACGTGGGGTGCCGGTGTGGGGCTGAGACAGGCTGTCCCCTTCAGCCCACTGGCTTGGCCTGCAGTGCTCCCTGCCCCGGAGCTGCTGGAGTATCGGTGTGGAGAAACCTGTTCCCACAGGGTGGCAGCGGGGCCCCACGGAAGCCCGGGTTCTGCCCTGTGCTGGCCAGCTTGTTAGGGGCTGGCAGCCTTGGGAATGCACCTGCGCTCTGACCCCCTGCCTCTTTGCAGGACGAAGACCTGGACTACCGGAAGCACACAGATAACTTTGGGAAGGTGCGTGGGTGTTGTGGCCGGGACATTCGTGCCCTGTTGAGCAGAGCTGCAGACATGCCTTGCAGTTTGCCCTCCAGGGCTCTGAGCCATTGCCGTAGCTCCTGATGTGCACAGGCGAACGTGGAGAGGGCTGGGAGGCTGCTGTTGACAGTGGGAGCCCAGCTACAGCACTGGGCCGTGGGAACCCCTGAGGCCACACTGTGTCTCTGTCTTGGCCATAGAGTCCACTTTCCCTGGGGGTGGAGTCCTACTTAGGCTTCCTCAGCAGCCAGGCTAGCCAGCCCTGGGGGTAAGAGGGGTTAAATTCCAAGCCTTATCTGCACAGTCACAGCAAGCGATTATGCTTTCCCAAGAGCTCGAACCCACACTAACCAGCACCGTGCTGCCAGCCAGAGCCTGGGGGTTCCTGCAGCTGTAGTCCATAGACCCTTCTGCTGCTTCTCCAGCTGAATCATGCTGCCCTACAACCCCTGAGCCGGCGAGAATGGGGGCTGGCACCTGGCTCTGTGCTCCCAGGTGTCCAGCCCCACAGACCTTGGTTGCTTGCTGGATGGTGCACATCAGCTGGGCGGGTGGGACGGTGGCCAGTTTGGTTGCACCCTGGTCTGAGCTCCTTGGTGCTCTGCCCAGCACCCCCCATTCAGCTCCATGTGGGGAGGTTACTGTGGTGCTGACTGGCTCCAGGCTCCCTGCAGGCTTGCTAAGGCATTCGGGTCCTGCATGGTCTGCCTTGGAGCCTTCTGCTGCCCCGTTCTCTGTGGGCCGCAGTCCGGGGCGAGGGGTCGCGGCGTCTGGCTCCGATTCCTTACTGGGCCAGGCCTTGGAGCTGTGGGCTTGGGTTTGCAGAGCGAGGACCGGTGTCCCGGACCTGCCACACGGTGGGGCTGGTGAGCTTTCCCAGCTTGGTCTCCAGCACTTTGGCCAGACCCTGCCCCATGGGCTTGTCTGGAGAGGGGAGTCGCACCAGCCCAGCCCAGCCGTCTGTCAGTACGAGGCCTGACCTGTACCACTCTCTTCCCAGCATCTGCTTCCACAGCTCTTGGAGGAGCTCCTCCATCCATGCAGCTCAGGGGCCTGGGTGGGGAGTGTGCGACTCTGTGTGTGCCTGCCTGCTTGGTGCCAGGAGGGCAGGTCAGCAGCGAGGCACACTGCTGGGAGAGACTCCTCCAGGAGTGTGTGTCCCCCACTCGCTCCACCCTGCCCTAGGCTGCAGGTGGAACCAAACTTGTGCTCCTCTCTTTAGGGCCCCAAGGGTCACAGCCCCTGGACTGGAGTGTCTCAGTTCTTGCAGACGTCCCAGAAGATCATCCAGTTTGCATCTGGGAAGGAGCCGCAGCCGGGAGACACCATCATCTACGTGGCTGGAGCCTTTGACCTGTTCCGTATCCTTTGACTGAGCTGCTGAGACGGGCAGGGAGGGGAGGGATGGGTGTCTCATGTCCTGTAGCAAGGGTTAGTGCTGTGCACTGGAGGGGGTGGGGCAGGGTCTGACCCTGGAGAAAAGACCCCCAGGTCCATCACACACTGGATTTATGGCTGGAGGGCCCTGGTTCCCTGGGATGGGACATGGCAAGGAGCAGCCACCCCAGCACATGTGCAGCCAGTGATGAACACGCCTCGGGCTCTCTGTCCCTGCTGTTCTCAGCGGCTCTGGCACACCACGGCCTCACGTCCTTAACAGGAGCTTAGACATTGGCCACGTTGACTTCCTGGAGAAAGTGCACCAGCTGGCAGAGAGACCCTACATCATTGCTGGGCTGCACTTTGACCAGGTCAGTAGGGCAGTGCCTGGCCCGGGCTCAGAGGGCTGCCCTACGCCCCATCTGGGCTCAGGGCCCCCTTCCTCCTTGGGGTAGTTGGGGGAGAGGGCAGAGTCCTCTCCTGTGGAGCCTGAATGCGGGGTCATGCCGGGAGGGAGTGGGTTTGGTCCTTCCCCTGACAATGACTGGTGCTTTGTCTGCAGGAAGTGAATCGTTACAAGGGGAAGAACTACCCCATCATGAACATCCACGAGCGAACGCTCAGTGTCCTGGCCTGCAGGGTGAGTGTCTGGCCAGAGCTCTGGCATGAATGAGCTGCTGCCTTCTGGCCCCTGGCCTGGAAACCCTGGGTCATGTCCTCAGATGCCAAGGAACCAGGGTTAGCCTGGTCTGGGCCCCCCTGGGGAACCATGGGAGCTCCTGGGTGCAGGGATGCTGGCGTTGGCAGTGTGGAACCTGACACTCATCCTGGCAGGGTGCCAGGGCTCAGTGTCTCAGCCTGAAGGGGACAGCCTGGGTCACTAGAGATGCTGGGGCGCTCCTGGCAAGGCTCTGGGGGGCAATGCATTGCCTCCTGCCCCAGGATCCAGCTACAGAAGGAGCCAGAGGCAGGTGCTGCAGCGCAGCGGTGCGGTGTATTGTGCCTGTGAGAGGCTGCTGTGTTTTAATGGAGCAGTGGGTGTAAGGGTTCCTGTAGTGCGCTGGGCAGCTGATGGCTGGCACTCCACAAGCACCTGCCCCGGGTCTTCCATTCTGGCTGGGTGGACGGTGCATGTGCCACCAGCTCTTGGAGCTCAGGTCCTTTCGCACCTTCTGCCTCTTGAGGAAACACTGCTGCAGTTCTCCAGCAGCAGGAGCCTGTGCAGGCAGAGGCCCCTGGCGTCAGCTCTGGTACGGCAGGTAGATTCCCGTGCTGGCCAGTGGCTACCTGGAGGTGCCATGATGGGGTCCACGCCCTTTAGAGGGGAGGTGGGCACTAGTGATGGACACTGACTGCTAGAACCCACTTCCCAGCTCCCTAGTCAGTGCCAGAATTCACAGAACTGAGCAGCTGAGCTGACATGGAAGTGAGGGAGCAGTGGGGAGGGACCCTGCTTCTCCAGTCATCCCTGGCTGCTTGCTTCCAGTATGTGTCAGAGGTGGTGATTGGTGCCCCGTATGCAGTCACGGCTGACCTGCTGGATCACTTCCGGGTGAGTCGGGTGTCCCCCATCCAGACCCTGTGCACACGAGCAAGTCGGGGTGCCGAGGGGGCCTGTCCCTGTGCAAAGGCCAGGAGGAGGCGGTGCGTGGTGGCGTGACATGGGGAAGCACGTGTGTATTGCCTCACAGTTGTGACTGCTTCGTGACCGTGGGGCGGCAGCCCCCTCCAGGCTGTGGCAAGGGGAACCGTTAGCTTTGGTTCCCTGGCTGCTGCTGCTGCGGTGAGCGCGGGGGCGGGGGCATCTGCACTTGGTTCCAGTGGCTGGCTGGGATGGAGGGTGGGCCTGGAGAGGGGAGCGACCAAGGCAGTGACTGGGCTCCTCTTACCAGGTGGAGCTCGTGTGTCATGGGATGACGGAGGTGGTGCCAGACAAGGATGGCTCCGATCCATACATGGTGAGTTCTGTCCCATCCCCATCTGTCTTTCAGCCCCCGCGGGGGGTGTTTGTGCCGAGCTGTCACCCAGGTGGGTTGTGGCCGCGGGCTCTGCAGCAGCAACTGAACCTACAGCACCCTCGAGACCGTTCCTTCTGTTAGCCACTGCTTTGCTTTGGCTTCCTGTGCCCTTGTGGCAGTGCGAACAATCCTCTCTGCCAGCCAGGAGGAGCTGCTCCCTCCCCTTTGCTTTGCTTGCTTGGCAGACAGGTTTGCTCCGCTTCCTAGGAGATGGCTCTGTGTCACGTGCCCAGCGCAGTGCCTGGGGACCTGCCCCAGCTCCTGCTCAGCCTCGCTCACGAAGTCATAAATCTGGAGGCTGGTGCACTCTCCCCGGCTCAGCTGCTGTGTTTGTTTTAGGAGCCCAAGAGACGCGGCATTTTCCAGCTGGTCAACAGCGGCAGCAACCTCACCACAGACCTCATTGTGCAGAGGATCATTAAGAACAGGTGGGCTTTCCTCCCTTGGCTGGGTTGGAGGAGGTGGTGGGCCCGGCTGCACGCCCAGCTCTGCTAGAGTCAATTTGCAGCCCCTGGCTTCCAGAATGGGTTTGCACGCATGGCCATGCAGCAGGTGGCAGCAGGGTCCCTGCACGTCCCATTGTGCGCCTCGTGCCCATCACTGCCTTGAGTGCTGCTCCTGCCTCTACTTGCTTACTCTGAGTTCACCTGAACCAGCCCTGCTCTGGCCCGGGTGCACCCTTCCTGCCCAACAGTCACCGTTTCCCCTTTGAAATTGGAGGACTTCACCTCCCAGGGCTTTGGCAGTGGAGGCCCTGCAAAGCTGCGGTCAAAGTGTCTGTTCCCCCAGGGGCTGGGGCCAGCATAGCGTGGCTGTGGGGAAGCCTGGCTGAAGCAGAGGCCTGTGGTGACCTCGTGGGCCCTTGTGCATGTTGCAGGTTGGAGTTTGAAGCCAGGAACCAGAAGAAGGAAGCCAAGGAGCTGGCAGTGCTGGAGGCCATGAAGAAGCTGGAAGAGGAGAAGCAGCCGGGGAGCCCGCAGAGCTAGGCTGGCCATAACTTTGTGGGTGGGCCACCGAGCAAGGCAGGGCTCTTCCCCAGAGAAATGGAGTGAGCTGGCCCGGGCCCTGCACCTAGCTGGGGCTGCTGTTGGCCCCACAGCGCTGGTCCTGCCTCCTCTGGCTCTGCTCTGCTGCCTGAGGCACAGGGCTGATGCTGGGATGCTGCTTCTGACTTCTCTCATTAACACTTCCTGGAGAGACGGGGGAATCGGTTCTAATCCTAAAGAATGTTTTAACGTGCTGTGGTAGTTTGATCTGCTGGCACATCCGGCGTCTCGTTTTGGGCTCTCAGCACCCAGCCCTGCCCTTCCCTTCCCTTGTCCTGTCTGCAGTCTGGTTTGGATTGGCCCCTGGTGTAGGCAACTTTACATGCAGCAAAAGCCCCTTCCTCATTGATAGGGGAGCTCTTGGCCCATCCCTGCCGTTTCTGAGGGCCTTTGTGAATGAAGCCCTGGGCCTGATCTGCCAGCTGCTTCCCTGGCTTAGAAAGCCCTGATCCTGGGGGTGCTGCTCTGTGCTGGGCAGGGGCTTCTGCAGTGCCCAGAGCTGCGCTGCTCAGTTTGGGGGGAGCTCGCCTGGAGCCAGCCAGCCTGTGCTAGCAAACTGGCTTCCCTGACAGCAGCCCAGTCCCCACCTGCACCCAAAGGCGCTGCTCGGGTGGGGTGTGTGCAGCAGCTGTCAGGGCGGGTCAGCAGCAAGGGCTCTCGCAGCCAACCCAGGAGACCATCCGCTGCACTAGGGTTGAGCTGTGGGTGGCGTGGCTGTGCCCTCACCAGCCGCAGGGACTCTACACTACATGCTGGGTGTACTCTGCTTGCCACAGAAGCCTGTTGCTCGTGGGCCTCTATGACGCTGGTGTCTGGCCTTGGTACTGGCAGTGAGCCACGGAGGGTTGATGCACTTGTCCCCTCCTGCTCCCGAGGGAGCTCTGCAGAGCCGGGGGAATCCAGGCCGGGGCCCTTTCTGCCTTGTTTCTGGGGGGGCGGGGGGCTGCCCCTAAGCTGCGGCTCGGTCCTTGCAGGTGGGTGTTTTCTATCAGTCTCCTGTAAACTTTTGCTGCTGCAAATTAATAAAACGTCGTGGAGGAGTTGTTTGCTTGGTGGTGACCTGTCGGAGGCAGCCTCCCTGCTCCGAGGTCGCTGCAGAGCTAGGCCCCTTCCTCTTGGCTCTGGCAGGGCCAGCAAGATGCTTGATTATGGGACCGGAGGAGGGAAGAGCTTCCCAGGACTGCGGCTGCCCTGGCCCGTCCACGCCCAAAGCTTTGTGCAGGCAGCTTCTACTTCTTGGCCCGTGGAGTCCTGGTTGGGGCGAGCAGTTTGGAGAAGCTGGTGGTTTCCTAGAGGAGCTGGAGCAGGGGTGGCGCTGTGGGAGCCGGAGCCGGGCACTATGCAGACTGCTCCAGGAGGTGGCCAGGGCCCCGGGCTCCCCTTTGCAGGTCTCCCTGTGCCCTTCTCCCTGCCCCTTGGTGACGTTCCTGATGTCTGGTCCTGTGAGGGTGCCCATCTCCAGCTGCTGGTACTCCCAGCGCCACTCCCAGGGCTGGCTTGGTCATACCAGCCCCTTCCTTGGCTGCAGCGCAGAGCTGGGCCTGGCACAGGAGCCCACCACTGCCTTTGAGGTGATCCCCACCCTCTGGGTGCAGTCCTTGTGCCCATGCCAGCCCTGGGGGCCAGAGGTGGGCAGAGGCACTGCCTGGCAATCTGTCACGGGGGGCGCTGGAGTCTTCCCTGCTCTGTCCCCCACCTGGGGACCAGGCATGGGGGCTGGCTGTGGGTGGATGCCCATCTCGAGGAGCTGCGGGCTATCCTGGGGTCAGCCAGTGCATGGGGATGCGGTGCGGCCTGGGGTCAGGGACCTCCGCTCACGTGGGCTTTTGTCAGATCCACCAGCACCCTGTGCCCAGGGCCTGTGGTGCAACGTGAGGCCAGATGCGCTGTTCTGAGTTCCCCGTGTCCCAGGACAGTGCGGCCCTGGCCTGTCGGTGCGGGGAGGACCCAGGTGTCCAGGCCTGGCGGATCCCTCTTCCCCAGCAGGAGAGGTCTGCGTTGCACGGGGCTGGGACCTCTCCTCTCCCTTTACTAGGGGCTGCACATGGACCTGTCTCCTGCCACGGGCGGAGGAGGCTGCATGTTCCCTGGCTCCCCTGGGCAGGGCCGTAGGATGGCAATCTCCAGGCTCAGTGTTTGTCACTTGTTGGCATTTCAGGAACAAATCTGTCATTGATGACACAACCCTCATCTGGCGCCAGGAGACCTGGCACTCTGGAGAGAACAGCAACTTCGTGCCCCCCATGCTGTCCCCGCATGCCCAGCCAGCCGGGCCCTCGAGAAAGCTCTGTGACGCCAGCCCCCCCTCCCTGCAGCAGTGCCCTGGTCCCTTCCCCAGAGCGCTTGGCTCCAGCCCGGGAGGTCCCTGCAGGTCCCAGCGTGGCCCATGACTCCCCCATTGCCACATGGGTTCAGCTGGTCCAGCCCTTGCCTGAGTGGAGCCAGCCTGTGGGCAACGCTGGGCAGGGCACAGGCCCTGGCCTGAGCCCAAGGGCAGCCGCCTCCTACCTGTCACCTGGGCCCTGGTAAACCTCCTGGCTGTCTGTCAAGAGTGCGTGTGCTTCCCAATTAATTCCTCTGCAGTGTGAGACCTGGCGGGTCCCTGCTCCATTAAATGCAAACAGCCCAGGCGCGGTGGTAGAGCTGCCCCAGGCACAGCATTTCCATGCAGAGTGGCCGCCCCCGGGCCCAGCAATCACGGAGGTTATTAAAACTGTCAGAGCTCTTTAATTCCTGCTCTCCCGGCGCCTCGGCACCAACCTGCCACCGCCGCTCCGTGGTTTGGGAGCTTCTGCTGTGCTGCGGCAGCCGGGAGGAGCCGCGCCCGGCGGCGCCGCCGTTCCTCACGGCTCCTCATTGCCATGCTGGATCTGCAGTCTTTTGCATCTGATGTTCTCCGCACTCGCAAGGCCTCTGGGCCCATCTCCGCCCGCACGTCCCTGGGGCGGGCGACAGGCGGGGGCTCATGAATTCCAAGTTGGGGCTTCTCTTGTTTACTCTTTCAGGGAAGACAGCGCAGCCTGTGGCTCCAGCACAGGCCTTGTCCACCATGCACGCGGCAGCTCCTACACAGGCCATGAGAGCGACCGTGTGCTGCTGGGGGGGGGCCACGGCTCTGCCTACAGTAGCCTTGCTCTCCTCCAGTGCCTGCCGAGAGCTCAGACCCACCCTCCCTCCTCACCCACCTGGGCAGGCCCTGCTTGCACCCCACTCCTTCCAGTGCCTTCAGCAGAGGCAGCTGGGGCTGGGGTGCAGCTGTGCTGTGCTGTGAGGACGTTGGAGCGCACATGTCTTGCCAGGTCTGGCTGGGTCAGGGGGAGTTTGCTGTGCAGCTGGACTGGAGATGGGGTGAAGGGCCACGTTTGCAGGGTCCATCATGCCCTGGGTAGGGGGGGAGGCAGAGCCTGAGGCGGCAGCCACCAGCCCTGCCTGGACGTCCCAGCTGCAGTTGCAGCTCCTCATCTGTAGGGCCACACGCAGTCAGTCAGGTGGGCTGTGGGGGTGCCCTGAGCTGTGTACGAACAAGGGCTTGGGCCCCAGGGGGGGCCGTGCCACGTCTCCCTGGGGCCCAGGACTCGGGCAGCTGGAGCCCTGGAGCTCTGCTGGGTCCCCTCCAGGCGGGGGTGGAAGAGATTGCTGCCTGTGCCTGGCACGGGCTTCAGGTGAGCGCTGCCCTCCTGCCCACTGGAGCCTTTCAGCACTGGCAGCAGTGGTCCAGGAGCTGGGCCTGACGCCCCTTTCCCCGGGATCCAGGCTGCTGCGGGGCCGGGCCGGGCCGGGCCGGGCGGCGTGCTGGTCCGCCTGGCGCGGAGCCCGTGCGGGGAGCGCTGGGCG